GAATAATTGTTGATTATACCAGATTGACTTCCACGAAGAAGCTCAATTGTGTTTATAGATTCAACAACACTTCATAAGGTTTCTTGTGTGCTTTTTCTTTCTCTACATCTGAAAGCTAATGATGTTCTCATTTATCAAACCGTTCTCTGTTTTCTGACGAAGGGCTCAAAACTGATGCAGCACCACAGTTTCTTTAGAGACTTACCCCCTTTTGATAAACATGGCTGTAAGTGATAAGGTTTGGATTCATCAAGCTTGCTCTTGAAATTTGATAAGATGTAAATGATGATAATCTATCGTTGTGTACTTGTTAGGACTCTGCTAGACCGCTATGCTACTTGTTCATCCAGCAAAGATGTTGTGAAAGCTCAGGATAAATGGCTGGAAGAAATGGATGAAGAACAAAATGCTCAGTCATCACAAGGTTTTTACTTGTTTAAAACTTACCTTTGCATATATTTTGTTTGTTTTAAGGTTTTTCTGTTACTATTTACTTTCCATTTAACTCCCATGAGTGACCAAGAAAGAATTTCTCATTACAATATCTATACAATATCAACCAGATAAGTGGTTGATCCAATACTAAATTCTCTGAACTAACATGATAAGAATTGTATGGTTGACAGTTAGGAGAATTACAAAATTGGATCTGGGAGTTAAAGGGTCAATAAAACTGTCATTGCCTTGTTCCTCCTGTACTCTGTCATTCATTCCCTTCTTTGCTGTTTCTGAGAACTAGGTGAGCTCAATTTTCCCCATCTCCTCACCTTCAGGGGAGGAGTGGGTACTCATTTCTAAAACAGTGGTGAATGTTTCAGCCATAGAATTTGGTGGAGTATCAAGATATGTTCCCTTTGTTAATGAAAACACCTTAACATCAGGATCTATGTTCTCTATACTCCTTCTATACATTTCCTTTGGTAGTGATGAGGAGAACTTGTTTAACAATGACAGATTGGAAATCATTTCCTAATGATCTAATGATCTTAATGAACGATTCCGTAGTGTTACTGTTAGGAGACATTAAACACAAATACAAGATGGTTACCAAATTTAAGAAAGGGGTAAAACAGAAATATTGAAGTCAAAAAAATGCCCTCAGCAATTAAGGTGGCCTAAACCAAGGGAATGTTATTTTTTAATGCTGTAATAAAGGTCTAATTCATTGCCGCAGAAATAATCTATCATCAAATGTATTTCTCATTTCATTTCCAGATTTGATGGACATTGATATGACCAAGGAACATTTTAACCCAAATCGGCCCATTTTGAGGTTTGTTGGCTTAAGTTTCAAGATGCGTAAATGTGTCTCGTATCATTTAGCTTTGCAAGCAGAAGCGGCATTCCTTGAGATAAATTCAATGAATCGTTTCTTCACAGTGAAAATGAGTCAAGTAACAGTAACAGCGACGATGGTGATGATGTTGACGTTGACGATGACGATATGGATACGGATGATGCAACGGATGATGATATCGAGAATGGACACGAAAGTGATGAAGATGAAAAGGCTGAACTGAATTTTGGTATTGTTAGAAAAGAAAACGGACAAGAAGAAACAGAAGATCGACAATTACTAGAAAGAGACGGAACTGAAGGTGCGTCGTGCGGTATTAGTTCTGCTGAAGATAAACATTTCGGGGATTGTTTTGGCAAGGGAAACTTGCCAGGAAATGATCACAGTGTCGACTCTCCCGTTGGCGATGATACGCTGGAAATAACCAGAAGGACCGAACTTTTTCATTTGAATGATAGATAGTACCGGTTTTAAATTTGCGAAGCTGGCAATTCACGGACCAATGGTGTCTTTAATCCTGAAACTAATAAAATGTCTAAAATAGAAGAGATCAGTACAGATGCAACATGAGGCATGAATTATTAATGTATGCACCAAAAAGTAGCGTACTACAAAAGTATCCCGCGATCTTGCTTTCATTTCTTTGTTTGGGTCAAATCTATTATTATCATCTCAAGTTGGGCTTGATCGTCACTTTTGGCTGTTATTTTTCAGTTCTTAGCAATTTTTAAGTCGATATTGCGGTTCGAAGGGAAACTTAGCTCGTCGTTCTTATTTTCTGGTTAAATTCTTAGACACCCTTATGTCGGTGGTTTTCCGGTTTGGATGAAAATTTTGGCTGGTTTTCTGCGGGCTTCTGTTACGCATCGATGTTCCCTCCCACGTACTAACGGGAAAAAATGCCATCCTTTATTTCGCTTCCTCTGTAACGATTCCACCGTAACTTTTAATCCTTGAGAGTATCATGAAATTCTGCGGGCTTCTGTTACGCATCGATGTTCCCTCCCACGTACTAACGGGAAAAAATGCCATCCTTTATTTCGCTTCCTCTGTCACGATTCCACCGTAACTTTTAATCCTTGAGAGTATCGTGAAATTCAGTAAGACGTGATCGCAGCTTACTGCTTACGAAAGTTTTTAAGTAACCTACGTCAGTAGTAAGCTTTGAAGTAAAGGAACTACCTCATAAGTTGTGCAGCTTTAAAACTGAACAAGGACTAGAGCCCTTGACTCGGATAAATTTTTCAAATACCTTATTTGCACTTATTAAAAGCCTGCGAGCGTGAACACTCTCGTACAACGATATTCAGCATGGTGCGGTTTGAGGCTTCGGCAGAAGCCAAGTGCCGAAATTTTTCTACCTTCTTTTTCTTGTTTCTTGTTTTTTTTTTCTTTTCTTTTGGACCACGTGAAACTACCCTAAATTTCAATAAAACTGAAAAATATTTGACAAAAGTGAGGGTAAAACATTCTAGGGCCCAAATTAAACCAATGGGTGCAAGGATGGTTATGGATAGATGGTGAGAATACGAGACACGTTTGCTTTTTGAGTGTAAGTCGCCTCAGTAAGTCCGAGGTGAGTTATTTTTATGCTGATAAACCGCTCGAATGCGCAAGCAATTAATTGAAGGAACGGACCTAAATATTTTACTTTTGTTTCGTATGGGTTTCCTGTCGCAATTAACTATAGCCGGGCGATCTTTTGACCAACTGAATAAATATGACACAACTCTTTCGATACTAAGAAAGTGAAATGCTTGAACGTTCGCATTGCGTGACTATTTCAATGGGGCTGCAGGAGCAATTGCGTTAATCTTTCTTGATCCGTAGTATCCTGGTTCCCCACGTAGTTTTGTCCTATCTCTTTTGTGTTCGTCTACTCAGTCAAATTGTTACTGAACGAGTTTCTTCAAAATTAACAGTATTCCTCAACGATACACAAAAAAAAACAACTCAAAGTAAATAACGTGACGTTGCAGCGCGGCGACGCCGTGCGTGGGTGGGATGGAATTTATCTTGAAAGGGAATACTGTAGAACGTGTTCCTGTTCATTGTATCACACGGCATAAAATGCACGAATACTGCACATTATAACAGACTATTATACACATAGTATGTTGGTGTACACCAATATAATCATTATGCTTTGCTGTTGATATAGCACCGAGATAGAAGAATACAATATTTCTAATTCTTAGATAAAGTTAACTATTTTTAGAACCTTTGAGCAGCAGAGCGAAGACGTTGATCGCTCGTCGCCCAATTTTGACAAGCCAGTCAGACAGGAGACTCTTTTTTCCTGTTAGTAATTCATTGAATTGAATTGGATTGAAAATGATAAATGATACTGGCACTGTTCATGTCAAGATCAAGTACAAGAACTCAAGGATCCGATTAATGGCAACTCAATCATTCGTGATTGCAATTTCCTTCGGGCTGTTTTTATGGTCACGTACTAATGTCAACAAAGCCTTATTTATGTCATTGTGGATATTGCCACCTGAAAGGAAAAAAATGTGTATCGTTCACGTCTTGATTGAAACATGTACACCGTGGCTAATATGCTTCAAACTGTATTCACAGAAACGGAAATTACACAAGGAAAATGGAAAACAAAAAGATGAGAAATTATTTATTGCTAATCTTGTATTGAAAGATATGTAAACAAGTTTGTTTAATGCAAGGATAATAAAAATTCCTCTTCGGATGTTGATCGATTTCGCGTGTAAACTAAGAGCAGTACGATAGAAAGGTAATAGCAGATATAGAGGATACGACAAAGAAGCAAATTAGCCTCACCATATCGGATTTTAGGGTTTTTTAAAAACGATTTCGAGGGAATCTTTTGTCCTCAAACCACGAGCAAACCACAAGCAGACCACACTATGTGTTCGTGGTTAACAATTGTTGACGTGGCCCCCAGGCGGTCTGAGCTCCAGTTGTGAGATGATCATCTTGCGAAATAAGAGTCGGGAATATTAATATGTGACTAACACAGTTTACATATAAGAGTCACGGTACAATTATAAGAGCTTGTATGGGAATGTTCTCGACCGCTCTTAGGAATTTAAAAAATATAGTGAAATTCTCTATAAAAATACTTCACCTTACTTCCACAGTGCATCGCTTCTTGTCTTACCGCTTACTGTGTTGAAAAAAACCCATTTTAGCGAGTTATCCATTTCTAGGTTTACTACGTATATGAGAAAGGTCCTTCTCTTATGCTGAAACCCTTGGTTTTGAACCGCAGTGGGCAGCCACTCAGTGGAAGTTGCTGCACTGTAATTTGAGTTTGGCACCGATCGGATTATGAAAGTTATTCTCATCATTTCAGCATTGATTTGCTCGGAAAATGTTGGAGGGATAAAGCTCAAACCTGGCCAAGAGATAAAGCAACGCCTCATTGATCAAAAACTGTCGCATTTAGGAGAGATTTTCAGTAGTTTGGCGTTAACTCCACTTTGAAGTGGAGAAGGTCGCGGCTGGCGGCCACCAAGTTGCAAGCTTTGTTGCCCTGTTTACTCTTAAGGGCCTCCAGCTAAAAGTAATTTCGTAGAAAGACACTTCAAATGGCCCTTGAAGGCGAAAAAAAAAATGAGTTGATTAACATTTCATTTAACTTTATTGAGATATTCAGACCGAGATATAATTTTGATATGCAATGTTCAGAGCTTTATTCATAACTCTCGTAGATTTTGTTTATCTCACGTCAATAATTATTAACCACGTACAGATTGAGTGGTCTCCCTGTGCCCAAACCACATATTTTTAGGTGTTCTTGAAATATTACGTATGGATGTCTTCGTTTCCTAGGTTACCCTGACGTCACACGTGCAAATTGAAACTCTAGTAGGCTAGAATGTTTGCATATTTGGCGTGGCCAATTGTTCTCATTGCTGCTTTGAGAATCCAGAGGTGTGTGCTTTCTCTCAGGAGAGTTTCTGCGCGATTTTTTTGAGGTAGGAAATTTAACAGGTACCTTTAATCGATCTTGCTAATGAGGAAAACTCCAAATCGGGTTTAACTGGATTTTTGTCTTTCATAAAATCAGTGAGAGATTTGCGATACTGGTTGTCAACAACGTCACGTAGCTCGGCTTTAAGCAACGCCTTTTGTCTGAAAAAAAAACGCTTGGGGTTTACCTCGGTGTTAAGTAATTTTGGGGCTTTTTTAAGTTTCTTAGTAGCGATTCATTGACTTACACGCGTCTTTGGGACGTATATACCTCGCCTTGGTCGCTACAGTTATGTTTCGTTGATGATCTCCGCGCTTAATATTTGTCGTGTGTTTGTATTACTCCTCGAAGTCAGAATAACCTTTCGATGCTGCAAACAAATATATAGATCTGCCCAGAGCGTTGTGGCTTGTAGCAGGATTGTAACTGAGCATCTTTAGTTCATTTTGTTCGTGTATATTTATTTTCAGCGTCGTAAACATGTAACAAGTTTCTACATTATGCTTTTGTTTGAGCAGTAATATAAAACCACCTACTCATCGAAAGGAATGATTTTATAACGACGTGTAACATTGTAGCTAAAGGCTTCTTAACAAACCTTTTTCTGCTATTGTTTTCGGAAAGTCACTTCAACTCTTATATCGATGTTGTCGGGTCCAGAGAGTGGAAAATTTCATTTGTGATGAAAATTTAGTAGAAACTGAGAACAGCTATCCAAACAGGTGAATATCAAGTTCTCTCCGACGACAGTCGATTTGCCCGTTTATCTAGTTTTACTGATGTGAATCGGGATTAGGACTTATGTTTTTATTTTATTTGTTTCCGGATGAAATTTTCTACCCGTAGTCAAATTGAAATTCGTGTTCTTTGAATATTATTCATTACAACCTATTCTATATTCATATCATGTCAATATCCATCAAGTCCTAGGGTCTGCTGTAACGCAACCTCTACCCGTGTGGTTGCTAATTAAGTTTACTTTTTATTCGTTGATCGCTCTTAAATAATACAGGAAAAAGGCAGCTTATGGGCTAAAACAAATTTCTGCTATCCGCGATCTCTACTTGCTTCCAATCTATTTGATTTCATTTGATTGAAACTAAAGAAACGAAAAGCATTATTTTTCTTATTCAAAACCCATCACGATATTTTCAAATATCATCACTCGCTTGGCAACTAGATTTTACTGTTCGACGAAAGATTTTAATTTGACGTCTTATAATGTATAAACATATTGAGGAAAACTTTCGAAGCAAATCAGTATTTTGCAGTTCAGTGGACTTTGCTACTGTCATTGCTAAATGGCTTACATCTGTTGACTCTTTACAAATCGCCATGGAAACCAGAACCTAAACAAAAATGTTTTACCGAAATTCTTGACTTTTCGAGGTTTATTCAAGTGGTGATCTCGTTACATATAACACCCAAGCGAAGTAAGGATAGCATCATCCTTTTTTGTTAAGTTTTGCTAAATTTTTTTCCGCACTGAACAGCCGTTCTGCTCGCCAAATATTTCTCTGAGGACGTCACCACCGCATCAGTCGCCTTACGCAGAATGTTTAATGAGGGTTTAATTAAGTAATGTTTTTCGTAATCTTGTTATCGCTAAAGAACTGTTTACGTTTGTTAAGAAGAAACATCGCTAGTTGCGGAAAAATAATGCATATGGTTTTTTTCTTTGTT